ATCACGTAGTGGGTGACAAGGCACCTTTCGTTGCAGACGCTATCATTTCAAATCCGCCAAGTTTCGCACCCACTCATATTGCTGAGAAGCTCGGCATTCCGCTACACATGATGTTCACGTAAGTACTTGAAATGTAGGCTTGCGAGTCAGTACTAACACTCGGCAGCTTCCCCTACACGCCTACGAGCCAGTTTCCTCATCCACTTGCCAACATCAAGGCCAGTAACGTCGAAGCCACCTACAGCAATTTCATGTCGTATCCGCTCGTCGAGATGATGATGTGGCAGGGCCTCGGGGACCTTATAAATCGCTTCCGTACCCAAGTCTTGCATCTCGAGGAAGTAAGCAGGATATGGGCACCCGGTCAACTGTATCGGCTCAAGGTACCTTATACCTACATGTGGTCACCCGGTCTCATCCCAAAGCCAAAGGATTGGGGCCCAGAGATCGACATTTCCGGTTTCGTCTTTCTGGATCTTGCTTCCTCATTTACGCCACCGGATGAGTTGAAGAAGTTCCTGGACGATGGGCCTCCCCCAATCTACATTGGGTTTGGCTCCATTGTTGTAGATGACCCAGACGAATTCACTAGTCTGATCTTCGAAGCGGTCAAGTCCGTGGGCTGCCGTGCCCTTGTTTCGAAAGGTTGGGGTGGCTTTGGCTCCAACGCAGATTGCCCGGAAAATGTTTTCATGCTTGAGAACACACCGCACGATTGGTTGTTTCCCAAGTGCAGTGCGGTTATCCATCATGGAGGCGCTGGTACGACTGCTATCGGCCTCAAGTGCGCCATACCGACAATGATTGTACCCTTCTTTGGCGATCAGCCATTCTGGGGTGCAATGGTCAGTAAGGCAAAGGCCGGAGCACACGATTGTATACCGTACAAGAAACTCAACGCAGAGAGACTAGCGGAGGGTATCAAGCAATGTCTGACTGAAGAAGCCAAAGAGAACGTGAAGAAAATCGCAGACAGCATTGCGAAGGAAGGCGACGGAGCGCTCAACGCCGTGCGCTCCTTCCACAGGTCATTACCACTTACCGGCGCGGGCAGCATGCGTTGCGACTTCCTCGACAACCGTGCGGCAGTATGGAAGATCAAGAATACCGAGGTCAAGCTGTCCGCACTCGCTGCCGAGATCCTGGTAGAGAAGAAGAAGCTCAAGTGGAGCGAGTTGCGACTCATACGACACTACGAGTGGAACGACTTTGGTGGCCCAGGCGAGCCAATCACTGGTGTCTGGGGCAGCCTGATGTCGTCATTCTCTGATGCGGCTGCCGGTGTAGGAGGCATGCCTGTCGAGATGGGGAAGAGCATAAGGAAACGGGAGCAAATTAAAGAAAAGAAGCGCAAGCACCATGAACGCCACGAGCACAAGAAGGCTACACTAGCCAAAGCAAACGCCGACAGCGCAAATGGAGCTGAAAAGATGAAGCACAACAAGAGTGAACAAGACGGATCCAGGCCACAAGCAAATCGCAACGAATCTTCCATTTCGAAGATCACGGAACCGGACGAAGAGCTGGCTGAGGAGCTCGGCCGCGAAGCTGCTTTTGGGTTCAGAAAGACAGGTCACGCTATCGCTCGATTCCCCATGGACTTGACACTCGCCATTACTCAAGGTTTTCACAACGCTCCACGTCTCTACGGAGATGAAACTGTACGCAGACCACCCCGAGTCACTGGTTTCCACTCAGGTACGCGCGCCGGCCGCGATGAGTTTCTCTACGGCGTAAAGGACGGCGTTTCGGGCCTTGTCACCCAGCCCTACAATGGCGCGAAACAGAACGGTGTTATAGGCGCAGTCCGAGGCGTAGGTTTCGGTATTGGCGGCTTCGTGCTCAAAGACATCGCAGCTCTACTTGGCCCTCTGGCATATACGATGAAGGGGCTTGACGCGGAATACATGAAGCGGTACCAGCCTACCAACTACCTCCGCCGTGCACGCATTGCTGAGGGGCAGAAGGAGCTGACGATGTTGGAGTCAAAAGCTCACATTACGGCAATCAAGGAAGCTCAAAACGGAGCCAAGCGACCTTCCGAGAAGAAGGAATCCGTGGAAGAGAATGTAGTTATCCGATGGAAGGCTCTACAGAAAACGATCGCAGACGAGAAAAAGCAACACAAGAACGGAATCGTTGGCTCTCTCACAGGTCGAGGGGACCACAAGGAAGGCCAACGCGTCGGACGCAAGTCCACTGAGGTCGCCAAGAAGGATGCCAGGCGATCTCAGTCCAAAGGAAGGCCAAACACCCATGCGCCCAACGACAAGCCCGGTAAAGTTCTTCCAGAAGACCAGTCCAAAGTGACGGATCCCGGAAAAGCGCGAAGAAGCGTTGACGGCAACGCAAGAGGTGGAGGGATGCACCGGATGAGCACTGCGCCAACCACCACTTTGGAGCATGGCGAACACCTTGAAAGAGAAGAGCTGCAGCTTCCTCCAAGATATCAGGCGACTGGTGATGCTGCGTTGAAAGAACAAGACACAAATTCGCTTGGTGCAGCACACCTAGGTGATGACGCAAAGAACAAGTCTGATCCTGAGCTTGCTAGCCCAATCACTGAGGCTAACAACTTGGGACCTACAGATACGAAGGGTGGATTGGATGTTGCGGATCGTCCTTCCGCAGATGGCTCCGATGAGACGAGGGTGGATAGCGATCTCACCGATTGGGCTGCTGTAAGGCAGAAGACTGATGGTTTGGCATCGACCAATGAGCCGCCTAGGGTGGTTGGTGTGTAGAGACATGGCGGCTTTGCATCACATTACCTGTAGCGTGGCGTTGTTGGCCATTGTCGTCTTTCAGTACTGGTTCATCACCCATATTTTTTCTTTCCATTCCATTAGTTAGTTTTACATTAGAGGTTCTAATAACTGAGATACCCATACTTGTACACTACAATCCGGATCGCATCATACTCGCAGCGATTTCGCGATCACGCTTTCAAAAGCCGCATACTCAGGTAGCTTGAAGCCATCATCCCTACTCTCCGTATCTCCAAGCCACGGACCGACCCACTCCCACCTCAGAACCATCGACACCAGCTTCACGAAACCGTGCAAGATCGTCCTCTTCCAAGCCGAACCTGGATGCATGAACCCCGGTACAAAACGCGACATGACCTGACTCTGCACCACGAACGGTCGAAACTTGGCCTCGTAGCTGGTAAGCGCTTCAGTAAGACTGTCAAACGTCGTAGAAGAAGCAGGTTCGTCAACACAGCTCAGCTCACCCGCCAAAACATACGCCCCCAGCACCGCAAGCGACGTGCCCATGCCCGTACACGGACTAGGACAAAACGCCGCGTCACCCAGACAAATCACACGATTGCGACTCCATCGCTTCATCTTGACCTGATTGATAGCGTGGAAGTAGAAGTCTGGCGCCGTAACCATGGCATCAACAAGTCTCTTGCTAGCCCACCCTGCATCTGCGAATTCCTGCACGACAAGTTCTTCCTGAGCCTTCCTCCCCGCTCTACTCGCCTTATCCCAAGCGAGTGTCTGCGCGGGGGTTGATGGCATGAAAGTGAACATCGCACGGGTCGTACCGTGAGGATCTGGACGCGTGGCAACCGTGCGTGAGCCTTTTGCGACGAAGATGTCCCACCAGGGTGCATCCGAAGGGAGTCTTGGTATGGTGAAGTAGGCGGCGTACATGCCCTTATGTTCGATAGAGACGTCTTGGGCTGGGAAGACCAGACTGCGTGTTTTGGACCATTGGCCGTCTGCTGCGATGAGGAGGTCGTAGGTGCGTGTTGTGCCGTCGCTAAGTAGGACTTTGACGCATGAAGAGTCGTTTTGGAGGATTTGCTTGATTGTGGTGTTGAATAGGTAGGTTACGTTGGATTGGGAACTTGTTGCTTGGTGTAGGAGTTTTGCGAGGTCGCCGCGTAGGATCTCGTATTCTGATGTTGGACTTGCGGAACCGCCTTCTTTGATGGGGAAGGGCGCGATGGGGGTTCCTTGCGAGTTGATGAACCGCGTGCCGAGTTCTTTAGTGTTGTAGTGCTCGACCTGTGGCATTAGGCCCATCTTTTTGATGCAGGTCACCGCGCTGCCTTGTATGTCGACATTCTGGCCGTGGGGCTGGAGGGAGGCGGATTTCTCTAGGATAGTGATGGTGTGCTTGGGATTGATGGAGAGCCAGTACGCTAGGGCTGGGCCAGCGATACCTGAGCCGACAATCAAGATGTTCATCATTTTTTGTCCTTCAAAGTGAGTCTGGTTCAAATTCTGGGTAGCTCAGATGGTGAAGCGATTTGTCTTGTGCGGGCGAGGCTTGGGGTTCTTTTGAACGATAATGCCCAGGAGGTGAATGATGTCTTGCCATAATAGTAGGCGTCATCGTCATATATATACGACATTGACACGTTCTCTGCGATAGCTAAATGTACGGCTTCGGGCGCATTGAAGGGTATGATGGGGTTTCGGGGCTGGCCCGCTTCGGGTTTGAAGCTTTCGGGCAACGGCTCGGGGGTAATAAGCGCACTATTCCCGATGCGATGTCACGCATCTACCATCATCCCGCATCGCCACTTCCCAAACTTCTGTCTTCTTCTTTCGCATCCTGCGTTTACCTTAATGGCCTGTAACGACACAAGAATTAATACTGCAGCGTCTATTTCAGCCCGTTCCGACCTCAATATCTAAGCATGCAGGCGAACGCCACATTAACGACGCCTGCCGTTACTCAAATCCCAAATGGCAACCTCAACCCCTTCTACGAGCGCTTCCAAAAGACCCACTTTCTCCTGCATTCGATGCGCTGAACGAAAAGTCAAGTGTGATAGGCAGAGGCCATGTGCTGGTTGTGTCAAGAGCAACGTCGAATGCATCTTTAACCCCGTGCAACCGCCGAAACAGAGGAACAAGCGCGTCAAAGTCAAAGTACTGACTGATCGGTTGAAACAGTATGAGGCTCTCCTTCATGAAAAGGGCATCGATCCGGGGAATCTTCCAAATGAGACGAATAGTAGGCCGCAGTCGCAACCCTTGATGCACGGCGCGCCCGATCAACAAGAGCAGCATGTCGTTCAATTGCAGACGCCTTCGTCTCTTGAGTCTGACTCGTCTCCGTATGGCCTTCAAAATTCGACTGTTCGTGGCCAGGCACCCTTTCGTTTTGTGGAGAACAGCCTATGGAATAGAGTGGTCGAAGAGGTGAGTGGAAGACCTATGCCATGTGCTATCACGGCAATCTCATCATCGCGCCGACGCTAATGAGTATTTAGTCTCTCGACCCTGACAACGACTTAGAAGACTCAAGCGATATTAGCGAGGAGGAGTCCACGACGGGTAACTCCGGTTTTGCTGTTATCAGATCCTCCCATCGCAGCGACAAGCCTCGTCATCCACCGCTCGAGCGCCTTATTCAGCTTTGGGAGATCTTCGTCAGTAACGTGGATCCGTTGACTAAGGTGGTGCATGTACCTAGTCTACGACCTATGATTGAAAAGACTGCCAAAAATCTTGGGCTCATACCGCGACCGCTCGAAGCTCTCATGTTTGCTATATATGGCTCCGCTATCATGTCATTGGGCCAAGAGGAGTGTGAGCAACGTTTCGCCAAGTCGCGCAACCATCTACTTTCTCAGTACATCTCGGGGACAGAAGCGGCATTGTCCAGAGCAAGAGTGATGGAGACTTCCAATCTTGTTGTTCTTCAAGCTTTGGTAATACATCTGATCACCATCCGCGAGATCTATGCGCCACGCGCGACCTGGACGCTCACCGGCGTCGCTGTTCGCATCGCTCAAAGCATGGGTCTTGAGCGCGATGGTAAATATCTAGGAATATCTCCCTTCGAGACCGAGATACGCCGCCGTATCTGGTTCCAATTGAAAGCCCATGACTCTCGAGCAGCGGAGTTGTGTGGTCTCGCGAAGTACCGAGATCCTGATATCGGCCCTGAGCGAGCTGAATGGGCTACCAACCTCAACGACGATCAGCTATATCCTGGTATGTCTGAGCTACCCTCAGACTCCAATGGACTAACGGATGTTATCTTCATTGTAACAAGATGTGAGATGGGAAAGTTCGCGGCGCCACGCATTGCAGCACTGCGGCAAGAGGGAATGGACCCCAGGCAGATGAACCTTGACCATTCGGCAAAGAGCAAGACCGCCCGTGAAAGCTTAATCCAAGAGCTCGAGGATACTATCGAAACGAAACATCTTCGCTACTGTGACCCATCTCAGCCTTTACATCTTGTTGCAATGGTTGTGGCTCGGTATGGTCTCAATGTAGCCCGCTTTCTGATACATCATCCACGGAACTGGGGTACATTGGAGAAAACACCGCTCGAGGAGCGCAAGAAGATCTGGGAAGTTTGTATCAAGCTTCTCGAGCAACAGATCATGCTGCAGACCAACCCGGTCATCAAGCGCTTTGCGTGGAGTGCGTCCTACTTTCGGCAATGGCATGCTTTAATACATTTACTGGATACTCTTCGCGCTCATCCCAACTTGATCGACACTGATCGAGCTTGGCGACTCATCGGCGAAACGTACGACAATAATCCGGAGATGCTCGAGGACATGAGAAGGCCCATCCATGCAGCTGTTGGCAACCTATGTTTGAAGGCCTATGACGATCATGAAGCATTGATGCGCTCGAAAGATGGCCTTTTTCGTCCGCAACCTGCATTCATAGCACGTCTACGACATCAACGCGATGGCGCAAGGTTGCGGCGCCAGAAACGCACTGCAAACGGCGGACATGCGGCTGCCTCTACTGATCAAGCCGGGACTGACATACACCGAATCGACGGCAATGCTATGCCTGATGACTTCAATGGGCTGATGGATCCGAGCTCCTTTCAGACGCCATTTGGACCTACGCAAAACACTGTGTTCGACAGCACTAATCCTTTCGCCTTCTCCAACGACACCAACGGCACAATTTTCGACAGCATGGATCTGGACGGCGCGCATGATTTTATGGCCACCGACTACATCATGGAAGATTCATCACTAGAGTTTATAGACTGGGGCAAGTTGGATAATTGGCTTGCTCATGCTTCTTGACGGAGGTACACTATTCATCTGGCACTGCGTCCTAGCGGGAATGGAAGAGTGCTGCTCGGCTTCCTAGACTGTTCGAGCACATACGCATATACAAAGGGAATAACTTTCGCTCAATGAGGCTATATGAGCCAGCCTAGTTACAACACACAATTAATCGCAGCTGCAGCTATCCCAGCGCCCAGAACTGCTATTATCTTGGCGCTCTTCACTCTGCCACTCGCAATGCTCGGTAAACTAATCTCGGTTGATGCGATAGCTTGGGTCTGAATAGCAGTCGAAGCGGTAGAAGCCGTTTGCACAGAGCCGCCTTCTGATTGTGTAGTCGTCGGAGGTTTGTCGATCTCACGCGCCTCGGCGTAGCATCCGGCGAACGCAATAGTATTGTTCAGCCAAACTTCGCCGTACAGGGTCTCGCGCATTTCACTGATCCAAGTATTGGGGCAGCTTTGAACGACTTCGACGGCTCGCGAGCTATGCGCAGCCCACCAGGAAGATGCTACGCTAGCATAGGAAGAGTAGGCCGGAAGGACTTCTTGAGGAGCAGCGGTAGTGAAAGCGCACCAACTGGTCCATTCGGGAAAGGGACAAGTCGGTACAACCGTGGCCGAAGGCGTGATAGTGAGTGTGCAGTCTTCGATGAGTTTGTCTCCGTAGATTAGAAGCTCATCAAGAAGGGCTCCGGTGGGCTTCGGCATATCGAAATATTGCGCGATGCTTTCGGTCGCGCAGTACCAAGGATCTCGGGTAGTCGTTGGCTCTGCGATGGGCATGAGCGTCAGCTGGACTGCAGGCGCTGTAACAGCCGCTTTGAGTGGAGGGGTGCCCGTGACAAGAGCCATAGTAAGTAAAACGTCGCTGAGGGTTGATATGCCAAAGTCAGGTTATCCTCTAAGCGATGTGACGATACAGAGACTTGGGACATATAATCTAGTTATATCATCCAAGAGTAAATACCACATTGATCAATAGGGGTTTCACGCCATGACCAAGTGCAGCTGTGCCACACACCCCTCGATCCGGCTAAACAGAAGCAGTGCATTCTTCCAGGGTGATTTGTTCGTCACTGCCTGCCATTGCTGTTGGGTAACCGTGGTAGCCTGATATGTTTGGTTCTTGCTTGAAGCTTGCTATCTATTCAAAAGGTTCGACATTCTCGCTCAGGGGTACATGGCAGGCACCACTATTCTTGATAGTAGTCGCGAAGCTTCTAATAGATCCAGTGGGGATAGTGCTCTTGCAGGGCTACTTGTACAGCGGCGAGACATTCGGTCTTTCGATAGCGCGCCAGATCCGGCCAACCATGCTCACGATAGATCTTCTGTATCATGACCACAAGCCCCTCTTCCCTATGCCCTAGCGTCGCGTAGATATCGATAACTAATTTTGGGGTGACGGGAATGAAAGAGAGTTGTCGAAATTGATCTTTGAGCACTTCGAAGAAATCAGCAATAGCCCAGCATTCCGAATCGGCCCGCCATTGAGCCTCGTTCTCTGGCGCGTAATCGTATGGATCGTCTTGGATCGGTTCGCGCGACGAGCTGTGCCTGATCTCGTAGGGACATTCGATCCAGTAGATGACGCCCAGCTCTGTATCGAGCAGGAAATTCGCATTGTCTCTTCCACCCGTTGTTAAGCCGATGACGTGCACCGGTACTTCGTCAGTGATGCATGCGCCTTCAGAGCAAAGCTTGAGTGTTTCCGCGGTGCTGGTACCTCGAGATACGTGTTCCAAGTCGCCCTGCCAGTCGGAGAAGACACACCATGGGGCTCCTTGGGGGTTCTCGAAGCTGCTTCCAGGCCCAAGAATATAGGGTAGATGCTTGAGGAGGGCTATTACTTCGTCCGTCTTGTTGACATCTCGCATGGAGTCGGAAGTGACAGAGGGCCAGCCTCCTTTGGGTGGCTCAACAACGACGCTTTCTTCCATATACATGCGAGTAAGAAAGTGGTAGTAATCGCGGACCGCGGCGATGCACGCCTCGCGCGAGTAGCTGATATCTTCGAGCATTGGCATGATAACGGCGCGAGGAGGATACTGTTTAGAATCGTGTTGAAGAGATTTGTGATTTAAATCATGGCTCGTTTACCCGACTAGCCGTACATGATCTTGACTCTGCACCACCAACATGTTGGTACCAAACACCCAACGGTCCTATATTAAAGCGTTCCTACGATCTGCAGCTGTGCCGCATCACTGCTTGAGTCTGGCGAATACAAGAGATCTGCGTAGTGGTTATTCCCAAGATGTGGATGTGTTTCAACAAGTGCAGAAGTCTAACGTTGTTGTATCGACTTGAAAGCAGTGTGTTGTGAAGTAAACCTCGGATTTTCACCAGACTCGCAATGGCAATCTCTTTATTTCCAAGGTTTGCTCTTTTGTGGCAGCGCACGGGGCACCCCAACGGTACGTGGGTTAGCGAACCCCTTACTGCGGACGATGCCTCACCCATTGACAACACGATTACCTATTATCGCAACCAGTACGACCGCCCGCTAGCATGTACAGACTACGCAAACACGCACAGCTGGATCACGTACTTTTCCGTGCGCCGTATCGAGCGGTGCGAGAAGGCTATGCTGCTTGAGTTATGTTTTAGCCGCACCTGACGACCCTCAGACGACGCCGTTGATCCGCGACTGCACAACAGGCGGAGGAGGCAATGAACCAGAACCCATGATCGCAGACGTCCTTCCGGAGAATCAAAAAAAGGCGAGAGACCCTTTTCGAGCGAGCCTCGAGTCTGCGCCAGCATGCGTCTTGGATGGCGCGGAAACTTTGCACGATATGCAACCGACGACTCGCGGTAGCGGAAAGCAACGGTCAGGCGACGTTATGGGGTAGCTCAAGGGCATGAGGACGTATTTTGCTGCGTGCGACGATTGCGACGAGAAGTTAATGTCTGCGCGTCACAAAGATCTGGCTGTCGGCGGCCAGAGACGACTTGGAGACGGGAGCTGCGGATCTATGCTCATTCTGTACTAGCGCCCTCCGCCTCGGGACCGAACCCTATCCGTCGGCTCGCTTGGCAACCCGTTCACTTCGGCAATCGATGTCGCGATGTCACAAATCCGTTGGCTCGTACGAACCCCATTCAATTCCAAAATTGCTTTGCGATGATCAATCACACATTGGGCAGAGAGACTTTTAATCTGACTTCTTGGGCTCTGAATGAACCAAAACCGCCATCTGCCGTGGTGGTTTAATGCCACCTGGGCGTCTCGTTGACGTCTCGGCACTAACTTAACACCAGCATCATCCTCATATGAGCCTGCCTTAGCAGAGCTTGTAACCAGAGTCGAACGGAATTTAGCTACTATGCTGTGCGCTTGCGGGCGGTATTGCTTTCGGTTGTCAGACGGCGGTTCAGGTCGGAATCGCGCAAGGCTGGCTAGATTGTGCTCACCTCAGCTTTGTGACCTCACTAACACAATGCATAGACTTCCCAGACAGGTTGTACGAGACGGAGGTCTCGGCTTCTGTGTTCAATTCGGTTCTCGCGGTTCTGATAACTGCGATGCGTTGAGTTCCGGACCTATTCGATCAGCATAAAACCATCGGCTCAGCCATTTGGAACGAGAATCAACACATCTATACATCTCAGATTTACACTCCTCTTGATCTATTTTCTATGCCAAAGATGCGTTATCAACTTTGTTTCTTGCTCTGCGCCAGTAGTTCTGCTCACGGAGCAGTCCTCTCACCCTGGCGCCGGGACATGTCGCACTTCTCGATTGGCACCAGCTCCAGTTCCAGTACGCGTGCATCTGCGCTTGCAGAGAAGCGAGCTGGCTGGGAATACGGTCCCTCAATCGCCGGCAACACTGCATTTTATCCAACTGGCAGTATTGGTGGACCAGTTGCGAAGGCGCAAGGGGACAGCTTCGAAGCTTTCTCTGACAAATTGAGCGCCAAGAATTATGAGGATGCTAAAGCTGCTCAAGCATCCATTGTGGCAGTAAGTACATTTGTCGGACTGATCGCGGAGATCTATGCTTAACATACCTCAGGCTGGCGGCTTGAACACTTTGGATGACTATGCGAAGCTGTATAACGGCCTGTGGAAAGAAAGCGCGCCCAAAGGTCCATACCCAGGACTGTTGACTAACTATACAGAAGACCTGCTCTTTTCAATGACTCAGCTCTCAGACAACCCGTACAAGATCGTGCGAGTGTCAAAGGACGCAAAGCTTCCCTTTTCCGTCTCCAACGCCGACGCGATTTCGGGACAGACACTGGAAGCGCTCCAATCCTCTGGCCGTCTCTTTCTTGCCGATTATCTGGACCAGAAGTATCAGACACAGTCCGCTGGCAAATACGGCGCTGCCTGCCAAGCGTACTTTTACATCGACCCCAAGTCTCAGAACTTCCTGCCGCTCGCCATCAAATCGAATGTAGAAGGCTCTGACCTCGTCTATACCCCTCACGACTCAACTAACGATTGGTTGCTGGCCAAGATGATGTTCAATCTCAACAGCTTCTGGTACGCGCAATGGTATCATCTCGGAGCCACGCACGTGGTGAGTGAGATTGTGTATCTGAGCGCTATCCGGACGTTGAGTGAGGAACATCCTGTCATGGCCATACTGCATCGATGTAAGCTTCAACCCCCTTCCACGATTGTGACTCCCAACTGATAGCGGTAATGTAGTGATGAAGGATGCTTGGGCGTTCCGAGTCATCGGCCGCGACAGCCTGATAAACCCCGGTGGCCCCATCGATCAACTCTTCCCATGGTCCGGCAGTCAAGCCGGTAACTACACCGACTCACTGTATCACTCGGGCGAATCCAGCGCTTTCCAGGCGAACTACTTCGAAACCAATTTGAAAAGGCGAGGCCTGATCGACTCTAGCTTCGGTCCCGAGATCAAAGCGTTTCCTTTCTACCGGGATGCCTCCGTTATTCATACTGCCATCCGCCGCTTCATGACCACCTTGGTGGACTCGTATTACAAGGATACAAGCGCAATCGTAAACGACACTGAGCTCCAGGCGTGGATCC